GTAGGGGCTGGATTTGATTTACCCAGAGGGGTAAGTCCCCTCCAAGAAACTGTGACGGGAGGCAGAGCGCCACTGGAGGGAAACTGAGGCAGCAGATGGGTCTGAAGCCAGGCTTGGTCTGTCCCTGCTCCAGTGAAAGCGCAGACCAGACCTGGAGCCCAACTAAGCCGCTGACCAGAGCCGGAGCCAGGCCCCGGGGGGCAGCGGCTGCAGCACCAGCAGAACTGAAGGTCACCAGCCTAGACGGGGAGACGGGCTGCGAGGCAGCTTAGCCCTGTGGAAAGGGATTAGCCTGCGAAGCATGCAGGTGTGACAGGGCCAGGGAAGGAGAGAAACAGCCGCAGCAGCTGGGGTTTCTAGGGTGCCTTGCGGGCCCCAGGCACTTCCTGGCTTGTGTGTCTGCAGCCACTTCTAGGGTGGAACCCGTCCTGGATCCAAACACCTGTGAGCACCGGATACAGCTCTGCATGCCACGTTCCACAGCTCAGAGCCACTGGAACGAATCCACGTGCACAAGAGACCTCCCTCCCCCTGAAGCTAGCTCACTCGCACAGGCACAGAGAAATCCACATGCACCAGGCACCCCCCCAAGCCACCAGGCCTCCCTCTCCCAAGCTAGCTCACGTACACACGCGCAGAGAAATCCACATGCGCCAGAACCCCTTCCAAATAGGGTGGACAGGTGTCCAGTTTTTTACCGGACGGCCCAGTATTTGAGCTTTCCGTTCAGGAAACAAATTGAGAAAATAGAACTGTCCAGTATTTTCTAACTAAGATGTGATGTCGATTGTGATGTGATGTCAAGTGTGTCCGGTATTTTTGCTGAAACCCTCTGGCAACCCTACCTCCAAAGCTAGCTCACTAACACATGCACACGGAGATGTCCACATGCACCAGAGACCCCTGACGCTAGCTCACTCACACGCATGCACAGAGGGACGTGGCATTACACCCCTCCACAAACCCAGCAAACTCCCACCGGAGCTGAAGGAGCGCTCCCTTAGCTGGCAGCAGTAGTAGGTCACTTGTCCCCTGGCCAGGCCAGCCACTAGGAAGGATATCACACCCGCACTGCGCCCCTTTAGGGCAGTGGAGAAGAGTCAGCTAAGAGCTGGAGCGTTTGGAGCGGATTCGAGATCGGACAAGGCCACCAGGTTCCTGCCCCCAAAAAGCAGCAAAGCCACATGCAAGGGCCAGAAAAGACTGCCTTTATTTTGGAACGCTTGCCCCCTTTAAAGCCACAGAGGTCGCCACAGGCTCAGCCTCCCTCCACCAGGAGGGTGAGATCCAGGACGCCAGCTGAGAGAGCAGCGCCCCATGCCAGGCCTTCCACCTGCGACTCACCCCGGGGAAGGGCGGACAGACACCGAGGGCCCTGGGCCATATTGCACAAGGGTTGGAGACGCTTTCTGTTCTCGGGCAGGGGTGCTGGGTTGGCAGGGGGCCGGGCGCCCCGGGAGAGCACCGCAGCATCCTAGTGGCAGGGCGAAGACACCCCTCTTGCAGCAACCTCCCCCCAAGTCTCCCCCTGCAAGGGGTTCCGGCCCATTGGGGTTCTGCGTGCTGTTTTATTGCCCGCGTGCAGGGCAGCCAGATCCTGCTGGCTTCCAGCTGCATCGGGTTTTCCCCGCCAGTGTTACGGAAGGGCGGGCAGGCGGCACGCAGCGTTGACGGGGAGAGCCGGGCGCCCCCTCCGCGGCCAGTCCCAGCGCTGCTCCGGTTGGTTCAGTGACGCCGCCCTTCAAAACTGGCATCTCCCCATCTGGCCCCCGTCCTCAGAGACGCGCCCCCAGCCCTTTCTGGACTGAGCTCGCTTCCCGGGACCAACATCCAAGCTACAAAGCACACAATGGGAGGGGATTGGCCAAATTCGCTCCCCCTGGATGTCCAGCCATCCCGTAGCACCGATTCCCACCTCCTGCCAGCACCCCAGCCCCCTTGGGTCGGCAGAAGGCAATGCCACACTTCTTGTAGGACCTACATATAAACGCTGCATTGCATAACACTCCTGCGTGGCATGTCCACGGCTTTTTTTTTTTTGATAGTTTGGTTTTTAAACATCCTGCCCCTCCCAAGATTTGAGTTCTGTGCAGACCCCAGCTGGAATCGAAGCGAATGCAGAGGAGAAGCGAGTCCCAGCTACTTTGACAGACGAGAGGACGGTGATTTGCCTGGTTTCCTTCTCCCGGCAAAAATGTGGAGTGTCTCGTGTTTTCTCTCCTTTACCCCCCGCCCCCCCAGTGCTCAGATTCAGGGCAGCGGCCCCCTCAAACCACTCCACCAAATGGCCTCCGGCCTCCCTCGAAACCCAGGCTTCAGGGTTTTTGGAACCCCTGAAAACGGGAGGTGGAAACGAGAATTGAAGTCAGCCCGGCCCTACCTAAGTCCTACTGCATCTAGCGCCCCGGGCAAGGGCCACTGCTGTGCCAGACACTTCAGAGAACAATGTAACACGCCCACAAAGGGCTGTTAAGGACGGGGCAAATTCCTGCCTGACCCCACCTGCTCATCCCCCTGAAGCATGAGGATAGCTGGTCTGGAGCGCTGCCATCCCAGAGACTGCAATCCGGGCACATTACAGACAAGCTCCGGGCCCGATCCTGTCAGTGCCGTGCAAGGGGAGGCCTTGCCCAGATGGGAAGAGTGGGAGAAGCAACAAGCCATCTTCTGCAGGGAAGGGGCGAGACGTGAACACAGCGGATTGCCCCTCGGTCTCTCTTGTAGGACGGGGGCTAATCCCCCCTCCACCATGCAGGCCAAGGCTCCTCCTGCCCTTCTTACTCATGACACCGCCTCCTGCTCATTCTGATTTTTAAAGAGCCAATTCCCTTTCCCCTCCACATACTGCCTCTGTGCCCCTCACTCAGCTTGGGGAGGCAAACCAGGCAGGTTAATTTCACCCCCTCAGGCTAGTCAGTTTCAAGTCCAGGTGTTTGGTGCAGCAGCCAATCCCCAGCACAGCAGGGGAAGAGTAAAACCCAGCCAGGACTGAAGTGTTTTCACTGAAATTCGTCCGTGTCCCAGACACATTTCTGTCTGGTGTAGCGGCTGTAAAACATCCCTCGTTTTTACACACGCCCCCGCCCTACCCGAGCGTACAGCAGCATGGCGGCCTTGTTAAAAGGGCAGCACAGCGAGCTAAGGAACAGGGTGAGCTTACAGCACTGAGACAAGAAAAAGGGAGTCGAGCAGCCCCAGGATGCAGCCTGAGCCTGGAACAAAGACAACATTAAAGGGGGGAAAAACCACAGGCTGGTTTTCGGAGATTAGAGGGCGTAATTTGCTCTGGAGATGAAAGGAGCGGAAAACGGGATTAAAGTGCTGACCTACAGTCGCCTCGGGCCTCGCAGGCTTAGCTGGGACATTCCGCAGCTCCTTCCATTAGAGCAGTGTTTCTCAACCTTTATAAAAAAAGTACCCCTTAAAAAATTGTAAGTAACTCCAGTACTTACAGTTTTCAGACACTTTTTTCTACCATTGCAACACATTTGCTTAAACAACTTAATCGTAGCCAGGCGGGCGATGAAATTTGTGGGTGAAAAAAGTACAAAAAAAATAATAAAAAAAAAGCGATGAAGCTTAAAACCAAAATTCAGTTTTCTGCAAATTTGTGCATGGTTCTCTCGAGTACCCGCGAGGGTACTCGTACGACTGGTTGAGAAACACTGTATTCGAGGACAGGCTGTGAGCTTACTCAATTCAATGATTTTAGGAAGGTTAAAAGATTTCTGCATTCAGAATCCCACGCCTGCCACGGAGGCTCACAGGACAACTCCTGCGGAAATCAGGATCAGACCCCAAACCAGAAATATTCTAAGCTGCGATTACTGGACTAGTCTCTGGATTCCTGGTAGTGTTGAATTCCATCAGGTAACGGAAGGGGAGCGGGTTTTCTCCTCTTTTTGCGCCTGATTTGTCCCTGATCTCTCTTGTGCTGGGCGACTGTCTTTTGCATCCTAACACTGCCGTGTTGCGTTTTTCCTACAGTTTGACTCTCCGTCACGCCACCCCCCCACCCGTGCGTTTCAAAGGGGCAATGCAACGGGCGGAAGGGAAGGTCTGTGCAGACAGGCAGGCAGCATCTAGCAATGATCTCTCACGTGCACAGGGGCTGAGCCCCCCAAATTCAAACTTGCATGAAACCTGGGTCCAAACGCCCGGTTCCAATGGCAGGGCTGGGCCCAGGTGCGCAGCAGAGATACGGATTTGGGCTCCAAGCTTCCTCCGCCTTCAGGAATTGCCGCTAGCTCTCCACCTGTGGCAGAGACCCCCCAAAACTCCACCTCTACACCCCCACCCAAGTGAAAGACTTTGCCCTAAGCTGCCTCGTCGGTTCTTCCCCGGGATCTCGTTCCACACGAGCGTCTACAAACAGAGCAGCAGGGTTGCGCTCTACGAACCCACAGACAGGCTGGGCCGCTGTCTGGCACCCCGCAGAGAAGCAAACGTGGCCAGGCTGTGAGGAACGAGAGCAGGCCGACCCTAAAAGGACGAGGGACGCCCGGAGCAGCTAGAGAAAGGGCACAGCCAAGCCAGGCCCCACACAGCGACCCCAGCCTGCTGCAAAGGCATCTGCTCCCCGCCTTGGACGGTTCTACTCCAACCAGCCACGCCGCTCGAGGCCAGTCATACTGGCTCCCTCTCCGGAAAATGCCCTCCCTTGGGAAGATCAGGGGAGCTCCCGTCCTCACGGCGAGGGCAGGAAAGCTTCCCCCCGGCCAGGGAGCTCTCCGCAGCCTCGTGGCGAAAGTTACCCTTCGCGTCCATTCTGAAATCCCACCAGAGCAGGCCCCAGCGTGGCCCTGGGCACTGGCTCGCCTTGCGCCCCTGCCCACACTGCGTCTCCCCCAAAGCACCTCGAGAATGGGCGTGCAAGGGGAGCCGCCTGGGGCCGTAGGCAGCAGGCGGGCTGGGCAGAGGGCAGGCGGGGGAGGGCCCTGCGGGGAGGAGACGGGAATGCTCGTGGTGTGGCCAGGAAAGACAAAGCTACGGCAGCACCCCCGCTACCTATTGCGAGGGGTCAGCGGAGTCCGAGGCGGGACACGCAGGGCCTACGGCGACACGGCAGCCAAGAACAAAGCAGCAGCGCACGGGCGTTCGGCTAGCGCGACACTTCACGCTCTCCCCGGGAGCTCCGGACACCTGGGTCCCGCCGTGTTCCCCGATCTCTCCCTGGAGCGGCGCACGAGGGAGACCGGGGGCAGCCTGGCTTAAAGCCCTTTGTTGAAGTAGACCATCTCCGCGTGGGGAGCCTTCTCCCGGAGCAGCGCTTGGACTTCCGGCTCCAGGCGAGCGACGCGCATCGAGCTGCGGAAGGGAGAGACCGTTTCAGAGCAGAGGCGGGGAGAGCCGGAACAGCCCCCTTTCCCCGACTCCAGCCTCAGTTTGTCTGCTCACGGATCTCCGCAGACAGGTTCGGATGGGGCAGCGTTCGGCTCCGGCACGTGCTCTAGGACCTGGCACGTCCCAGCCTACGGGGCGGCTCGGCAGCTCTTTGCAGCATGCGATTGGCTGCCCCGCCGCCCACGGCAGCACTTCCGTTCTGAGAGGTTCCGGAGACGTCAGCAAGGCCAGTCCCCGGCTCCGAGACAGGGCCAAGGAAATCGAGAGCAGCCCCGGCAGCTCTGTCCCGCCTGGTCCTCAGGACCTCCAGCGACAGGGATGCCCCAACCCACCCTGGAAGCCTGTTCCCGAGCTCCACCCGCTGAGAGCTGGAAAGGTTTTTCCTAATCTCTCACTGAGATCTTGGCTGCGGATTCAGCGGATTGCTTCCTGGCTACCCTCCAGGGACAGCAGGAGTAACCCATCCCGTAACTGATCACAGCCTCCAGCCTCCCTGCCTAGCATCTCCAAGGAGCAGAGAGGTCTCACACCAGTGCCTCTCGACTGGGGGACACAGCCCCCCTGGGGTACACAAAGGTCTGCCAGGGGTACATCGACGACTCTACCTACCTGCCGGTTTTACAACAGGCTGCATACAAAGCAGGGATGTAAAATCCCGTGTAATTGATTAACCGGTTAACTGATTAAAGGGGGGTGGGCTGGTAGCACCCCTGTCCACAGCAAGTCCCATGGGGCTGGAGGAGTCCCTTTGTCCCCAGCAGGCAGGGGGCTGTTGCACCCCCCCCAGCTAACAGAACCAGTAAACATCACCTGTTAGCACCGGCGCCACCCCCCAGCTGTTATCCTGGTCCGGTCTGACATCCCTAATCCAAAGCACTAGCCAACGCAGTGCCAAGTAAAATTGCCTATGGAAATGCCTTGGGGATACTGCGCTAGACACGGAGATGTAAGCACAAGATTTACATCCCGGGTGATTTATTTTAGAATGAATTCTGTGGTTGGCGGGAGGAAGGTTAGCACCGGCGCCACCCCCCAGCTGTTATCCTGGTCCGGTCTGACATCCCTAATCCAAAGCACTAGCCAACGCAGTGCCAAGTAAAATTGCCTATGGAAATGCCTTGGGGATACTGCGCTAGACACGGAGATGTAAGCACAAGATTTACATCCCGGGTGATTTATTTTAGAATGAATTCTGTGGTTGGCGGGAGGAAGTCAGACCCCCGCGCCAGGCCTAGAGGAGGATCAGCCCCCCATGCAAGGTCCAGCGGGGGGATGGGGGGAGTCAGCCCCACATGCAAGGTCCGACCCCCTCCCCCAAGGCCTGCCCTGCCCCGCTCACAAACCCCGGCCAGCCTTACCTTTTCTGCGGGAAGAGCGCGCAGCACAGCGGGGTCGCGAACACCAAGCTGCGAAAGGGAAGACACCATGAACAGAGAGGATTTCTAGCGCCTCCGCCCCGGATCATCCCCGGAGCCATGGCGGGAACAAAAGCAGCAGCCCACGGAACAGGGGTGGGCCGTAAGCAGGTCCCATGGGGCTAGTGTTAGCCCTCGCCAGTCGCCAGATGCTTTATTTGCCTGTGCGCCATGGTTCTCTCTCATTTGTTCCACCCGTGTGCGGAATGAATTTTGTTCTGTGCACCAGGCATGTGCAGATGTGCACCACCAGGAGAGACACTCATGCTGATCAGCTGGGCAGCATTTGAATTTCTTGTGAGTGGCCGCCCTAGCGCTCAGCTTACAGGGAACATTGCTGAGCACCTGCAGGCATGATCGCCCGCAAATCTCGTCAGCTGCAAATCGCCGTTCCTGGCCCCTAGGAGCTGCACGCGGCAAGCAGCCGGCTCTGTGGACGCACAGGGAAATAAAGCGACAGGCGGCCCACCGGGAGCTAACCCTGGCAAGCCACGCCTGGCCCGCAGGCCACATATCGCCCACCCCGGCACAGAGCGAGAGGCTGGCATGAGCACCAGAAACCACACCTGCCTCTGGGTGGAACAGGCCCACGGCAGGGAGGAAGGAGAGACAGGTGATCAGGGCTGCGGGCTGGGACTCAGGAGACCCAGGTCCAGCTGTGGGCCCAGGAAAAGGAGGTGCAGCAATGAGGGCTGGGGCAGCCCCTAAATGAGACAGGGAGAGACCGCCATTCCCCCTCCTCTGCCCCCAATGAACCTCCCAGCCAGGTTCCCTTCTCCCTGGATTACTCCAATGGGGCGACCCGGCTGCTGATCTGAAGCATCCTGGAAACCTTCCCAGACGCACACACGCCTGTGAGTTTTATCCCTTCCCGCTGCTGTGGGAAATACAACCAGAAGCCGCCGGTTCAGGGTCTCTTGCCGCCCCTGCTTCTGGCCTGACCCAGAAGCCTCGTGCCTGACAAAAATCCTGCAGCAGGGAGTTCCGCAGGGCATGCGTACATGCGGCAAAGCAGTGACCTGACCCACGGACTTGGTCTGACTTTTCTGGCCAGGAATTTAACTGCAACATGAATGATGGGGTGAGAGTGGGGAACGAGCCGCCGGTTCAGGGTCTCTTGCCGCCCCTGCTTCTGGCCTGACCCAGAAGCCTCGTGCCTGACAAAAATCCTGCAGCAGGGAGTTCCGCAGGGCATGCGTACATGCGGCAAAGCAGTGACCTGACCCACGGACTTGGTCTGACTTTTCTGGCCAGGAATTTAACTGCAACATGAATGATGGGGTGAGAGTGGGGAACGACGGGCTCTTCCCTGCGCCTTCCCTTCAACGGCTCTCGGCCGTCCTGCTTGGAGCCCAACCAGCTTGAAGCAAAAGACGCGTCGGACTCCAAGACCGGGCTAGCAAATCCAGGGGCTTCTCCCCATCAGCTGGGCTGGGCGAGCTTCCCCGCTTGGCAGCCGTCACTTACCAGAACCCCACCAGTCCGACCTGCAAGGGGGCGTTCAGCCAGGGGTACCGCTGCAGGGAGAGAGAGGGGGACCTGGGTTAGCAAGAGGGTTCTAGTAATGGGGGGGGCTACAGATCACAGGGTCCCTGACATGTCACGGCCAAGGGGACTGTTTGGAGGGGTAGGCACCATGCACTGTGATCCAGTGATCCATGCAGAGCTGCCGGCTCCTCCCTCGTTCCCAGCTCCCCAGCAGCTCGGAAAGAGGGGAAAGTCCTTCTCTAGGGTCCCTTCTCCCCGGTGGCACCGGCAGGGTTGGTGCGTCCCATCAAGGGGAGTGGGGGGGGGACAGGAGACGAGCACTGTCAGACCGCAGTCCGGGCTTAGGGACAACCCCCTATCTCCAGGCACTCCCAGGGCTCCAGAGCAGGGGTCCCTGTAAGCTGAGCGCTTGGGCAGCTGCCCAGGAGAGATTTTGGGGCCGCCCAGCTGATTGGCAGAGCGCCCACCGCGTGTGGATCTATGGGTGGTGCACATCTGCACATGCCTTGGTGCACACCACAAAATGTATTCCGCACAGGGATGGAAAACCTTCCAGGGAACATTGCTCCAGAGGCATGGACCCCGCAGCCCAGGGGTCGGCGCCCGATGGCTCGCAAGCCAAATCTGCCTTTTTCGGCAGCCACCACACCGCCCTCGACCCACCTCCAGGCCCGGGGCACGGGACGCCGCTTCCCACTGCCTCGTGCCCCGGGCAGCAGGGATGGCAGGAGCCCCTGGCAGGGGCGTGCTCAGGCTCCTGAGGGGGTGGTCTCGTATTTCACAGCAACTGCTATTAATGATTCTTATTCTGGTGCATTCGAATGTTGTAGTTGCCCAACAGAAACAAGGGGAGACAGACCTAGATCCACGCACGGACTTACACGCCCGGGGCAGCCTAGAATCATGCAATCCTAGAGCTGGAAGAGACCTCAGGGGTCATCAAGTCCAGCCCCCTGCTCTGGGCAGGACCAATCCCAACTCAATCAACCCAGCCAGGGCTTGGTCAAGCCGAGACTTAAACACCTCTAGGGATGGAGACTCCACTACTTCCCTAGGGAACCCATTCCAGTGCTTCACCACCCGCCTAGGGAAATAGTTTTTCCTAATCTCCAACCTAGACCTCCCCCTCTGCAACTTGAGCCCATTGCTCCTTGTTCTGCCATCTGTCACTACTGAGAACAGCCTCTCTCCAGCCTCTTTGGAACCTCCCTTCAGGAAGTTGCAGGCTGCTCTCAAATCCCCCCTCACTCTTCGCTTCTGCAGACTAAACAGACCCAAATCCCTCAGCCCCTCCTCACAGGTCATGTGCTCCAGCCCCTGAATCATTTTGGTCGCCCTCCGGTGGACCCTCCCCAATGCGTCCACAACCCTTCTGTAATGGGGGGCCCAGAACTGGACACAATACTCCAGATGTGGCCTGGATCTGCTGGCAATGCTCCTCCTAATGCAGCCCAATATGCCATTTGCCTTCTGGCTACAAGGGCGCCCTGTTGACTCATATCCGGCTTCTCATCCACTGTAACCCCCAGGGCCTTTTCTGCAGAACTGCTGCTTAGCCAGTCGGTCCCCAGCCTGTACCAATACTTGGGATTCTTCCGTCCCAAGTGCAGGACTCTGCCCTTGTCCTTGTTGAACCTGGACGGGCCCCGTGCACCATTAACCCTCACGTCAATTACCAAGACTAGACGCTGCGTGTTTTCAGCCATGCAAACGGGCATTCTCGTGCGGTTCTTTGTGGGCCACTTTGGTGCCGTTCGGCTCTTTGGTCTGAAAAGGCTGCGGCCCCGGATCCACCTGGCGCTTACGGGTCTGTCTACAGGGCGCCCAGATTCCGGTCTGAACCCAGCAGCTCCCTGCCAGCCCAGGCTACACACAGAGCCGCCGTGTAGAGAATCTCTGCACCTCCACCGTCAGCCAGAGCGACGGGAACCCTCCTGCCCCGAGCCCAGCAACGGGCTGGATTCCCAACCCCCCAGGATGACCTCGGGGTGCCCCCAGGATTCCCAGGGCTGCTGCTGCCCC